TTTTTAAAAAAATTTTTTTTATCACGTTTATCTTTGAAAAAAAATAGAAGACAATTATGTTTTTAAAAAATAGATCATTTATTTTTTTGGAGACAAATATCATAAAATAAAAATATTACAATTATCATATCAATTTAATTTTTTTCACAAATGATCTATATACAAAAGATTTTATAAAATAAACAGCTCTAATATTTAAAACGAGACATATGATAGACTTTATATTTACGTTTAGGTTTTTTTTTGTATATATTAAAAATAAAGAAAATGATATAGTTGAACTAATATGTTTTTTTTTTCTTTTTTATATTTAGATTTTGTCGTTTATTTATGAGAGAAGGCAGTTCATGCTTTCCTGTCCAAAATTTCGTCGAAGTCGTTGAATGACGACTTTGGCGGCAGAGTAAATTATAAGCAATTGTTTGTCATTAATAATTTATTAAGTAGTTTCCAAAGGAAAATGTTATGGACCCTAAATAAATTATTAAATTTTTTATTAAATTTTTTACATGTGGGATTCACACAAATTAAATGTGTGTAGATCCCATACCATGCGAAAGATTTGGTAGAAAATTTGGTAATTTATTTAGGGTCCCTAACATAACTCATTTCCAAATATCATATAAAATATTTACATGGTATATATGGTATTTATAATATATAATAAATTTCAAAACATATTAATAAGGCATCAATCACGTAACTGTTTTGGCAAAAGTGGATTCATATTAGAACATCCTAAATGAACATAAGAAAGCTGTGTGTAAGCGTGTTGTGTGGATTAAAGATGTATGCAGAATGCTACAATGGAGATGTTAAAATATGTAAAGTGTACGGAAAGTCACTTTATAAGTTAGCAAATTCACAATCTTCTAAGGTGTAATTCAGGCAGGTGAAAAGTTTTTAAAACCAACTCAAGTTATGTTATGAGTTATCCAAGTTCGATTTATAGTTTGATATTGTCTGTTGAAACCTTACATATGTTAAGCTCGAATTACTTGAGTTGGCTTAAAATTTTGATTTTTTTCTTTTTAAAATTAGATTCTATTAACATTGTCTTTTAAGTAGAATCATTAATAACATAAAAACAAATAATTTATATGATGTGAGATAAATAAAGTGGAGAGATATAAGGATTGAGGAATCGTTGTGATGATACGATAGTCTTTGTAATTTGTTAGCGAGAAAATAAAGGGTAAAATTTTATATTATGTTATTTATGTATATAATATATATATATATATATAATTAATTAATATGTTTTAATGATTAAAATTATTTCAATATCATTCGACGTTTAATAATTTATATGTATGTTTAATATTTATATATACAGTTCAAGTTTCGAGTTATTAATGTTTCTGTCCAATCCTGACCCAAATTTAATTTGGCCTCTAAATTCTGTCTAAACCTATACCAAAATTTAAAATATGTTGCCTAAGTCTTTAATTTTTTTGAATTAAGTTCATATTGCGCAAATTAAACCCACCCAAATTACATCCCCCAATCTGCTAACAAACGTTTAACTTGTTAATGGGTAAAAAGATACATTTAACATTTGACTCAAAAGTGTTTTTTAAGTAGGCTGGATGGTGTTGTGGGCATGTGGAGTTGATTACGAGTCTTATTTTGATAATCTAAATAATTTAATATGTAGAACTTGTCGAATATTTTATTTTTTATAAAAGATCATGTTGATTGGATATCAATAACTCCTCAGTCAGATCATTTTTTTTTCAATGATAAATATAATTTTAAATATAAATTGTTAACAAAAATATATTCCGATCATAAAATTATCAATATTTAATTAACATAATTTTTTATATAAATAAAATATTTTACGAATTATACATATTAAACAATTTAAAATGACCAGTCCCACCCCTGAGAGAAGCCTACTCCTTTTTAAACGTTCACTGTAGAAGCTCTTAAAACATCATCACATAAACAATTGTACAAGGAATACTATGGGCTAGTTTGGCATGTACTAAATAAGCCGAAAAGTCAAAAAGTCACTATCTTATTTAAGTCACATCATCTTATTTAAATCACATCACCTCTCTAACACATCACATCAAACCCAACCCAAACCCAACCCAAACCCACCAATAAGTCAAAAAGTGCACTTTTTTAGGACATCCCAAACCAACCCTATATTTACTAATATTAATTATGGTGACATGTGATTCTTTTCATTATATTATACAACAATTGTGAAATAAATTATTTCATAACAATTAAAATAATATAATAATTTTTTTTACTCCCATTTAAAAATTAATTATTTTAATTAAAATTTTAATTTTTTATAAAAAAATAAAAATAAAAATAAAAGGAATGATAAAACATAACACATTTCAACATTCAACCAAATTTGAAATTGAAGTGGACCGCACAGATATCATTGGAGAGGAAAAAAAAAAAAAAAAACGTGATCAAATGAGGACCGTCTGTCTACAAATGACCAGAAAAAGTGCCAAACACATTTCACACGACTACTCCGGCCCCCAACCGACTAACGTAATTTAAAGAAAAATTATTGGTTAATTCATAACATCATATAATTATATTTTTAGTTAATCACAAATTATTACATTTTTTTTTATATTTTTCAATTATTCAAAATAAAATTATAAATTTTACTACTTTTATCAATCTCAATATGTATAAAATACCGCATAATACTATTCTTAAACAAAGTAAAAAAATATTTAATGGTCCAAATTTATGTAATTGAAATGACTCGAATATATCATAACGATGTCGTTTTATCTTTAAAATAAAACCATATTAATACATTCAAATCCAATTTTCGAATTACCAAGTATTACTGAACCAATTAATTACGTCTCCCAGCCTAAACTACAAGTAAAATCAAAGTCATTTCCATTGAAAGCTGCCTTTGTTTTACTTTTCTTCCTCCAATATTCTTAGTATATTCCCCTCCCCTCACGTCATTGCCTCCTGACTACATGAAAATATTTACTTGTTTACTTTTTTTTTTTTTAGTCTATTTAATCTTATTAAATGAGATATCAAGATAAATATATTAAAATTATATTATTTATTATTATTTTTTTTCAAATTTTAAGGGAGATTAGTATAATTTATCCTATTTAAAATGAGACCCATTAAAATTTAATGATAAAAACAATTCAATTATCATATTATTTTATAATTTAAGTTTCTAATTTTTTAAAACTTTTTTTTTAACATAAAACACAAGAATAGTAAAACTTCTGAGTTAACTAGACTTTTGCTGTTTTTTATTTTTATAATTGAATAGTGTTATATGCGCGAATTAGTTTGTTAATTAATGTATCAATTGATGATATGACATAATTTAAGATATTTTTAATATTTGTAATTTATATAATGAGTGAGATTAATAATAATATTATAACTCGTGTTGATACACTAGTACGTAGCATCACCATTTATAATTGGATAGACAAATTAAGCATTGCATTGGACCATGTTATTTTTTTAGAGTAATAGTAGGTATTATGAAAATTATCATAAAAGATTTTTCATCGTTAAATTATACATATAAAAAAACATTACATACTAATCAAAGGATAAGAAATCTTCATAAAATATTTTATGATATTTTTTAGGGGTGTACACGGTTCGGATTGGTTCGGTTTTGAGAAAATCCAAGAACCGAACCGATTCTAACGGTTTTGTGATTTTGAGAACCAGACCAGACGGTTACACTTGTAAAACCGGACCAAAATCAAACCGAAAAAACAGTTCGGTTTCGATTTAGTTTACGGTTCTAAAAAATTTTATTTACAAGAATAAATTGTTAATATTAGTAAAATAATTACTCAAATTAATTACATTTAACTCATGATAAAAACTAATAATATTAAGGCATTACTTAATATTACAAATCTATACTATCATAATATCATTAAAATTATAAAAAACTAATTAATAAAAATAAAGGGCAAATTACATATACACCCCTCGAGGTTTGGCTAAATTACAAATACCCCTGAGGTTTGAGAAATTACGAATTCCCCCTGAATACTATATTTGCATAAGAAATTAGGGGGTAATTTGTTATGAAACATAAACCTCAGGGGGTAAATTGTTATGAAAATACAAACCTCAAAAAAACTAATTAATAAAAATAAAACTTGATATTTTATATATATATATATATCTTTTAAAATTCGGTTCGCTTCGATTCGGTTCGAACCGCGATTTTTTCAAAAAATCTATTAACTGAACCGTTTTTACGGTTCTCATATTTCTTAATCCGAAACCGAACTAATTCTTAATAGAACTGAATCAAATCGTATAATTCGATCTGATTCGGTCCAAATTACCAGTTTAAACGAATTTTTGAATGACCCTAATATATTTTTTCATGATTCTAATATTATTTATTTTTTTAATTGACAGACAAGTTAAGCAATTCTATTGGACCATTAATTCTAGTTGACCAAACCGTCGATTTTAATGAGTGTAGCCTATATGGCGGCCCTTCAATTTACCTGTTCCAGTTCTTTCTTGCGTGTAAATGTATATGAAATATAAATGAAATGTTATTATATTTTAAAAGTATTAATATTTTTATTTTTTTTTAAATATTGTTTTTTTTTGTTTTTATTATATATAGAAGGGTATATTTGAAGTAAAGTTGAGTGAAAATAATAATTATGTAAAATAAAAATAAAGAAGAAAGTGTTTTTAGAGTAAAATAAAGTGGGAATAGAGACTCTATATTTTAATTATTATTTTTTTTATTTTTATTTAAATTTAAATTTAAATTTATGACCTATGCCATCGGTGAAAGAGAGAGTAACAGCAGCAATATGACCAACAAACGCCAGCGTTTCATTACAACGCGACGTCGTATGTAAACCAAAAATGCCAATTTTCCCATCTACTACTTTCTTTCCTCTTTCCTTTCCAACACTTTCCATTCTCTCTCCTCCAATTTTCCATAGAAAACATAGTACGATTAATATACGCCAGCATGCTTCCTAGAACTCGGGTTCGTTTGAAACACAGTACTATACACACATATACACATTATATTATTATAGAAAGTGTCTATATATAATGACCCAAGTTTAATGTTTTTTCTCTAACCCTGTCTTCAAAGAATTCAGAGGCTTTTTGCCTCTCCTGAGATTGTGGGTATGTGTTCTGTTCCACCCTTTCTTCTTCATATTATACATTATGCTACACATATAAAGTTTTTATTTTTGTTTTTTCTATTTTTAAAATGAGATTATAACATTATGTTTGATCGTTTTATTTTAGTAAGATTTTTTCCCCCCCCTTTTACAAAGAAATAGAATTGTTATGTGTAACCCAGATGAAATATATATATATATATATATGCATTTATGTGATGTTTGTTGTTTGAACCTATTCAGAACAAAGTAACAGTTTTTACTAATATTCATTCACATTTCTGATGTGGGTCTGAGCTTGGATTTAGCTATAGATGATGTTGCTAGATTTGTTTCTTCAAGTTTTATTTTATTTTTTCTAAAAAAACAAAGAGTGGAGTTTTTGTTTATGTAATAGTAATCTTGATTGTGAAATATTTCATGAAGCTTCTTGGATCTGGCATAAACCCTTTTTCACTTGAATTTTCCTTTATACCATTCTGCATACAGTTTGTTCCTAATCTTAAAAAAAATGCTCCATTTCAAATTTGTCATTGATTTATAGAACTTATGAATCGCTTTTACTAGACATTCAAAACTGGTTATGAACATTTTAATAGGGTTCTTTTCTTTGGCACATGGACTCTGTTTTGTTGCTGATTGATGCTTGATCTGTATAAAATGTCATCCAAGTATATTTGGTGCCAATCTGCTGGGAATTCTTAGCTTTCTTACAAATTAACAGTTAATGATTGTTTTATGGAGTAGTTGTTTATACAGGGTTGTTAGATTAAAAATTATAGCCCTCTAATTGTTTGTTCTAAAGCCTGAATATGGATAACTTGGTACAAAAGATGTATTGATGTCTTTGGTTCATCAACACATCTTGGTGGTCTGAATAACGAATTTTCTGGATTCAAACATTAGGATTCAAATTGATTGATTACATGCTCTGTCAAATCATATGGTTTGGACCTTGGATTGGAAAACACGTGTCCACGGTCAATATATTTTTCTATTAGCAGATGTGTTTGATAATGGAGGAATACTAGTTTCTTTTTGGTTTTTAGATCCTTTTAGATTTTAGACTATTACAAATAGGTTTGTCATTGTTGCTACCAACAGCTAATGAGCAACGCTGAAGTTTGTTTTGTTTACTAGTCACTTGGTATCTAAGCCATGTCCTTTGGACTAGAGCTTCAACTGTCCTGAACTGCTCTCTTTACAAAGCTGTCTTTCTTTTGCAACTTTTCAAATTTGTGTAGCTCATTCAAATCATATAATAACTATTTCAGTGCAAATTCAATCCAATCAACTAAGTTGGATTTTTTTCAAAGAAGAGGTCCCAAGGGTAGTATCAGCTCTTGCTCAAAGAACTGATACGTACTGATATGGCATTAGCAAGGTTTGCAAGGACTGGCTTGAGGCGGTCTGGAGGTGCCATTGGTAATTACACAAACGAGAGAGATATCATCTGTGAGAGTGTGTCGACAAGTAAGTGTTCCTTACGTTCTGTTGAAAATGGCACAGCACATGGCAATCTGTCATGCCTTTGGAGCATCAAAAAGACCGATCACATGAATTTCTGGAGCAGGGGCATAAGGGTAACCCCACAATATCAGTTTCCTCAGGCACAGGAGGTTATAGTGGAATCTGATTCAGAGTGTGAGACCCTGAAGTATCCTACTTTGGCGGCTACAAGACCGGGTGAAAAGCCCAGGGTTGTCGTCCTAGGTACTGGATGGGCAGCTTGTCGATTCCTTAAAGGGCTTGACACCAAATTATATGATGTTGTTTGCATATCGCCAAGGAATCATATGGTTTTCACTCCTTTGCTTGCTTCAACTTGTGTTGGAACTTTGGAGTTCCGGTCTGTAGCTGAGCCTGTTGGTCATATACAGCCCGCACTAGCAAAGGACCCGAATTCCTACTTTTACTTGGCTTCTTGCAATGGTATTGACACAGACAAACATGAAGTGAGTACATCTTCTGTTCAGGGACATAATTCAAACAAATTATAGATTTTCTTGCCTAGATAGATGAAAGGAATCATGAGTATTTATGCTTTAACATTCTTGCTCAACGAGAATCAGTTTTGTCATTCTTTATTGGAATATGAATTCTTTTCAATATGTGGGTTATCTATTAGTATACAGAAAACAAAAGCGCGGAGAGAGAGAGAGAGAGAGAGAGATATCATTCTGATTTGTGCAGTCACAATTATTATAAACTTATTACTAATGTGGCTTCACTGAATCAGGTGTATTGTGAGACGGTTGTGAATGATGGACTTCCTAATGAACCTTACCGATTCAAAGTAGCATATGACAAGCTTGTGATTGCTGCTGGAGCCGAACCCTTGACCTTTGGTATAAAGGGAGTGAAGGAACATGCATTTTTTCTGCGTGAAGTGAATCACGCCCAAGAAATTAGGAAGAAGCTTCTCTTAAACCTTATGCTCTCTGAAAATCCAGGTGATTCATAATTTTTTGATCACAAATTTCCTATTCCTAGTGTAAACAGAAATACATGGATTTAATATCTTACAAGTGCCAAAAACAGAGGAATTGAAAGACGGGATGGCAATTCATTTTGGTTTTCCTCACTTCTTTTTGACTGATATCCTGCTAATTTTTCCTAATTGCAATTAGTCTTAAAACCTTGGCTTGTGTGATTTATAGGGATTCTGTCGTTAAAAATAGTATGCAACCAATGGGAAAGAATGTTCTGAATCTATGCGTATGAAGAGTGTAGTTTATGTTTATGCTTTTAAAATCAGGATTGGATTTGTCTACGAAAATAAGATTAGAGAGGAAATGATCGGAAGTGTGTAAGATGTGGTCTAATCAATATCACAGTAAACAGCTTTAAATTCAGCATTCATAGGTCTAAGACTTATTATCAAGACAAATGGAATTCTATATTGTCCAAATACATCTGGTGTGCCTAGCAATTATCTCACTATTCCTTAAAACATTTTAATTACAACTTCTTTAGGGCTCACGCGTCTTAATCATTTTATTTATGGGCTGGATCAGTGTATGCATCCTAAGAATTACTGCTGATAAATATTGACATTTATATAATTGTGAATTTAGAATTCAATCTGTAATTGCAGGCATATCAGAAGAAGAAAAGGAGTGCCTGTTACACTGTGTTGTTATTGGAGGTGGCCCTACCGGGGTGGAGTTTAGTGGTGAATTGAGCGATTTTATCACGAGAGATGTCAGTGACCAGTATGCTCATGTGAAAAATTACATCCGTGTCACTCTCATTGAGGTATTATCGTGTTCTTTCTTTTATACTTATTCCCGAACAATCTACAATACAATGCAAATGTGAACAAGTAGCCTTTGTTAACTGTTGTTTCAATATTTTAGGCAAATGAGATTTTGTCATCTTTTGATGTTGGACTACGCCAGTATGCCACAAAACACTTAACCAAGGTAATTTGAATCGTTTTCCTAAACCATGGATGATACTTCATCTGTAGGTTTTTTTTTTTTTTTTGAATTCTCAGTGACATTTGAAACTTTGTATCAGTATGGTGTCCGACTTGTACGAGGTGTGGTAAAAGAGGTGCATCCCAAAAAGCTTGTACTCAGTGATGGGAGTGATGTTCCTTATGGTCTCCTGGTATGGTCTACTGGGGTTGGTCCCTCTGAGTTTGTGAAGTCACTAAACCTCCCCAAGGCCCCGGGTGGAAGGTATGCTCACCCACAATGCTCCTACTCTTTCTTTCTTTTTCTCCCTGCAGTTCAATTGTGGAAACCATCAATTAAATTTTCCTTTTTGGGGCGTGACAGGATTGGCATTGATGAATGGCTACGTGTTCCTTCCATTGAAGATGTGTTTGCGATTGGAGATTGTGCTGGTTTTCTTGAACAAACAGGGAAGCAAGTGCTCCCAGCTCTAGCACAGGTCAGATTCCTCGAGTTCTTTGCAGTTTCTTCCTTCAATAGTATACCTTCCTCTCACTTTTGTGTTGAGCATTTTTCCATACTGATCTTTTCTTAAATATTTTTTTAAAAAAATTTGTATTTACTTTTTTTAGAGCATAGACTCTCAAATCAGAATTGGGATGATAATTTAAGGAGTTCAATGCATACTTATATTTTTTTGAGAGGGCAAACAAATTGAGTTCTTTGGCTTCTGTACTACTCGTATGTCATATGACAACACATTTGTGAGCAGGTTGCGGAGAGGGAAGGGAAATATCTTGTGGAGTTGTTTAACAAACTTGGGCAACAAAACGGCGGAAAAGCTTCGTGTGCAAAGGATGTCGCTTTGGGAGATCCTTTTGTGTACAAACATCTCGGAAGCATGGCATCTGTAGGGCGCTACAAGGCGCTGGTTGACCTTCGCCAAACTAAGGTATATTCAAGTTTGTTTTGTGATGATTCCATTCTAAACTCCCCAACATATGCTGCTAAAATTGAAAATGCAAAATGTAAGAATTTATATTTTAGGGTTTAGTTCCTTTCAAAATTGAGTTCCGTAGACTGGAGAGAAACCGAACCCATATTTTATACATGTTCATCTTGTGCAAGTAAGAAGTTATATGGCCTTTCCAAGATAGGACTTGGCACCTGCTTTTCTAATCATGAAGAACTCTTGTACTCCAATTTGTTTCATCTTTCTACTTTTTAAACTTTCAAATATGTTAAGTGGTTCAATGACATTGCCATGCCTGAACCATTGGCTCTAAACCCAAAACCGGTTAGTACTATATTTTAAAACAACCAATACCTAACTTTCATATTCATTTGGCTAAAACTACATAGTGAGCTTATTTTTGTTTTGTTTTGTTTTGTTTTTTTGAAGTTTTTTTCGAGTTTCAATCAATTTTTTTCTACTTTTTGGGTACATCTTCACTAGCTGATTCTAAAATTAAATAAATTTGAGTCATTTTTTAAAAAAATTCACTAAAATGAAGATAAGCCAAATTTTATCAAAAAAGTCTTACAAAAATTGGCTTATTTTTAAAAAAATCCAAATTTAATTTTAAAAAAATTTACTTTTAGGAATGTTTATACAAGTCTAATCTAAAAATTAAAGAAAGTAAACTTATTTTAAAAAAATTTAACTAAAATGAAAATAATTTAAACTAAAAAAAGCCAACTTCCACTTATTTTTTAAAAAGGAGACCCATATGTTTTACTACATTGATTAAAACATGAGTATTTTTTTCACTATCTTTATTTCAACAGGATGCAAAGGGAGTCTCCCATGCTGGGTTTGTAAGCTGGCTGATTTGGCGCTCTGCTTACCTGACTCGTGTCGTCAGCTGGAGGAATAGGTTTTATGTCGCGGTGAACTGGGCAACCACACTAGTATTTGGCAGGGATAACTCGAGGATAGGATGATTGTTCAATTAGTATTTTTTTTCCTGGGTGTAAAGGAGTTATCCGATCACTAGGGTTCTTCAAGAATTGAAGCTTTTTGTGTTGGACTAGTTTCCAGCTCTGCTTCAGCTTCAACATATAGTAATATTCATGAAATTATTTTTCAAAGTGATAAAAATTGATGGCTGAGTAATTATAGAATTAAAGGATGTAGGTAATATTCTATATTCATACAAATCAAAAGGTGAAGCAACACATCTAAAGAATTAAAAGAATCATTTCATATGTGAAACATTTGTAGTAAATGTCATGAAGATGATGATTGATGTGTTGTTGATTCAAGTTTTTTCATTTATACATCTCTTATTTTTGTCATTGTTGCCTTTCAATAAAAACTCTATTGAGTTGGAAAAAGAAAGTGAGTTTTGATTATTTACTCAAGTTAGAATCACTTTTCCAAACTAAGATATAGGCCTCGTTTGGTAGAGCTGTGAAAAAATGATTATAATTTATAATCTAACAGTTTATAGCTTATAGCTGTGAACATAAACTGATTTTTGACTTATAAATTAAGCTTCTCCTTCCCCACTCAAAGAATAAGTTGATTTTTGACTTACAAAAAGCTATAAGCTCTATTATTAAGCGGAACCAAACACATCAAAATAGCTTAAATTAAGTTAAAAGCTGAAATAAGTTAGAAATAAGCCCTACCAAATAGGGCTATAATCTTGAATGTTAAACAGTCGAATTACTTATCTCTCGGTCTATTAGTGAACCATCCCTCCAAAAGTCATGAAATATATTCCACTAGAAATATTCTAACACCTTATATGATAACATCATATTTAACCAGGAATGTGAATTAGTTCAGTAAGATAAGCAGACACGATTTTTTTTTTTTTTTTTTTTGTTGGGGTCAGTCGGTAATAGAATTACATTGGACAAAAACAGTGCACAATGGGAAATAAATAAACAATTTAATACTCGGACAGACTCTAAACTACTTGTTGCAGTGTTTCTATAAACCTTCAAATTTGGGAATGCCAATTTTTTTTTTTACATCCACCGAATTTGGCGTCATCCGAATTGTTTGAATTTATTCATATCGATCGTCCGAATGACAAGGTGATGATCACGGTAGACGAGAGTGACGACTGCTGTAGACGAGAGAGTGCAATTGGTCATCGGGGTGGTCATCCGGTTGACACAAATTCGGACGATTGACAACAAATTCGATGGATAAGTCATTTCACTTTTTTTAAAGGCTCATGTGCCAATTTGGCATATTTAAAAGCGACATTTCCAACCAATATGTCAAATTTGAAAGTTATTTTGGACATTTTACGTTTTATGTTATGTTTAATGACTAAAATATTTTTTTCCCCATCAATTTTACTTAATAAAAATAGATAGATGGTTTAAATTAAAAACAAATTAAAATATTGAGATTTAAATTGTCAAAATTAAAAATTTCAAGATTTATTTTATTACAAGAGTCAAAGCTCGGTTTTTTTTCCCCCTAAATCATATTATACTATAAATTGATAAGGTGACAACAAAAAGAAGAAATACAATTTGATTTTTATTTTTAAAAGCAACATGTTGGTAAAAAAAAAAAACAAAAAGAAAAACAAAATTAAATGCAATAGATGTACTTTTATTGCTTCCATAGTGAAGAATTTGATACCAAATTTGACATACGTAACTATCTATGTCAATTGCCAATTTGATGAGACATATGATGCATTTAAATTGAAAAAATTATTTCATGGTTCAAGAGTATCACGGGATCATATTCTTAACTAATTATAAATTATTATATTTTCTGTTATTCTTTAATTATTCAATACAAAATCATAAAATTCATTCTTTCTATTAATCACAATACACGAGCATCAAATAACTTGTTGCTAAATTGGGAGTGGTATGTACTAATGGGTAGTGTCATCAACAATTTACTTGACATATGATCAACGTGCACGTTTTTAAAACTCAAAAACGAGTAGAGATTAGTACTAAGCTAGTGTTAGACACGTAGGAATGTGGTTTTGTGTGGCCTATCTTTTTTGTTTTGCACATGGTGATTTTATAAGCAAAGTGATATAGATATATGTCAATTTCTATCAGATCATTCTCTTTTTAAGCCCCCAAATGATGAGAGGTGCGATAATAAGCATATGCACAAACTCCACTTAGGAAGAGCACCTCTCTCCCAATAATACTACTAGGAAATTGTTAAAAAGTGTATAAAAGGTATTTCGATATGTATTAAAATATGTAAATATATTTTAAATTACAAAAATAACATATTGAGATTACAAATATTTTATTATTTTATGTTTCATAATTGTGTTCTTGCAGCAAATAATCCCAGTCCCAATAGCGTGGGACTTGGACTTAGATTAGATTTCTTACTCATCTGCTCAAATTCCTTTTTATTTTAATTTTTTTAATTGATAGGAGAGTATTAATTACATTAAATCAGCCAATTAAAGTTCAACAAACACCACAAATAATGGCTTGATGGGTACAAATAAACATCTCAATGCAACTCTTACAATGAAAGTGAAATTATCAACATTTACCTCGAACAATGATTAATGATTGACACATTAAATTTTTAAATAAGAATGTATAAGAATGGGCAACTGAAGTAACATAGTTAGGGAAAATTATTAAAAACACTCAACGGCCTCAAATTTTTCCAAAAATCTGTCTTTAAGAAAAGTTCATGGGAAATTCTTATAGGCAGTGGCTTTGGTCCAGTCTAAGATCGGACTGGACCGTACTGTTGGTTCTGTGGGGGCTCACCACAGGTCCCGTTTTAATAATCCAAACTGTTCAATGTCTAGAACTCGTCGAGTACTATATGCCTGTAAAAAATCACGTTGATCGGATATCGACAGTTATGTGAACAAAACAGTTTTTTATCAACCGTTAATTTTTTCACCATCTATTTTTTTTATACAAGCTGATTTGATCGCATAGCTATTGATATCCGATCAACATGATTTTTTTATAGGCATGTAATACTCGACGAGTTCTATACATTGAACGGTTCGGATTATCAAAACAGGCCCAAAAAATGAACCCCATGGGCTGAACTGGACAGGTCCAGTCTTGATCTCAACTTGAGACAAGCTGAACCCTTCTAATATACCCCTTTAAAAAGAGTGTGCCATATACACCCTTAGATATATTTTTTATTATTATTATTTTTATTTTAGTTATGACTAATTTTCTTTTTTAATTGAGATATTATTTTAATTATGACTCATGAATTACTTAGTTATGTCTCATATTGTATTTAGTTATGATTTTTTTTCTTTTTTTTTAAATTATGACTATGACTCATGAATTACTTAGTTGTGTCTCATATTGTATTTAGTTATAATTTTTTTTTTTTTTTAATTATGACTTAATATATTTTTTTTTTCAAATTATAAGGTTAGTGGTTCTCCAAAATCTATACAACTGAAGGCCCACATGGGACCTTAATGAAACACACAATTGGAAGACAAAGAAAGGAAAAGAAAATAAGGAGAGCCTTGACCTTTAAAATTGAATTCTAAATTCGCATGATACTTTACTAATTACTATGCTTATGATCAATAATAGAATAATAAAGAGAAGTTAACCAAAAATAAAGACCCCCAAAGGTAACTACCGAAACATTCATTGTGATTCGATATCAGATCACCCATTTTTGAAAATCATTTTTGGAGCTTCCGCCTTACGCACATAAGAATGCAAAAGAAAATAATTCTTCATCCTTCAATGTAGTGGTGCTTTATTAGCTCTATAATAACTGGCTTAACTGTTAGCTATTGTCAAAATAAATCGCTTTGGAAAATAGACCAATAATAAGAGAAAACATCAAAATAATCAATTTGATTCACTTCTTTAAATCCAAATCGACAGTTGATTTTATTCAATTTTTACATTCGTATAGACATCAATGACAAGTGAGATTTTGTCCACATGATATCAACTAAATCATGATCAATGAATTAAAAAAGCCACTAACAATAATACATAATTAAAATTTAAAATCTATCTTGATTAATCAACATGAATAATTTGTCACCCAAAAATCCCTATACCCAACGACTTGTACATTAGACTTCCATTCATATTGAACACTTAATTTCATGTAATTTTTATAATATTCATCATTTATCATCCACTTATTATCAATAATAATAAAAAAAATGATTATTATGAAAAATTTGTTACCATCAGGCCCATATTGCCTTTATTCTAATGGGCTTACATTTATTATCATTATTCTATTCACACTGTAATCCAATCGATTTTGTATTCTTCTGTGACGTGTAGTTGAATTATATTGGTGCCTTAGTGATGAATTCCTTTCTATGGGTTAAATTAAATTTGGTAGACAACCGGTTATCCTTGACTCTGAGCCTATGGATGCAGTGACGATACTAGATAGTATCTTTTTTATGGCGGGGGGGTTTTGAATGACAACATTAATCCACAGTTAGTCAAAATGATCAAACGGCCAACAAAATCCCATAATAAAGAGAAAAAAAAAAAATTTGAACTAAGGTGCATCATAATATTATCATGTAACTTCCACAATGTACATTATCAATAGGGGTGTAAATTTGGCCCGATCTCGCCTAACCCGGCCCACTCGGGCTTGGGATCGGCCTGGCCAATGTTGGGCCTCACGGGCTCCCTTCAAAACTTAGGACGGGCCACGACCCAAAAAATTAAGTCCAGGGGTATTTGGGCCTTGGGCTTGGGCGAGCTTGACCATTCTTTTTTTATATTTTTTCAACCAAAATTTTATTATTTTCTACTAAAAAAGGCACTAGGCCTCAAGCGGGTCACGCCTTAAGTGCGCCTTAAGCGGGCTGATAGGCTGGGCCACAGACCGAGCCAGGAAAGACGGACTCACGAGCTGGGTCGAGCTTCAAAATAATGGCCCAGGCCGAAGCCCCTCGGGCTCGGGTCTAAACGGGTCGGGCCTAAATGGATCGGGCCCATCTCGGGCAGTGGGTGGGCTTCAGGCCGCCCACAAGCCACGGGCCATTTTTACACCCCTAATTATAAAACACCTCTCTCTTACAAAAAAAAAAAAAAACCCTCTCTCTCTCTCCCCCCCTTCCCCCTTCCTCTAGGAATGTAAAAATGACTCGTGGCTCGTGGCCCATGGGCGGCTCGAAATCCGCTTGCAGCCCATTTAGGCTCGAGCCTGAGCCTAGTCTAAGGTCCTAGGCCTGGGCCTAGGCCATCATTTTGAAGTCTGGTCCAACCCGCTTAAGGCCTTGCTTGAGGCCTAGTATTTTTTTTAGTGAAAAATAATAAAATTTTGGAAGAAAAAATTAAAAAAAAAAAAAAATATTTGT